ATGCAGTCATTAGGACATGCATGTATCTTCTGGATTTCTAATCCCAAAGGGGCAGACTACCTGTTTTGCTTTGTACGTAGTGGCGGGCAATTCGTTATCCTTCAGAAACATCTTTTTTTGGATTTTCAGTAACTCCCCAAATCCCTTGTCAGATACACCATTCTTTGCCTTCCATTACAGCAATTCCAGTGTGGTACCCAACTTTTTCTGCCCCGCATCATACGTTGGGTATAGCCATTTCTTGTGATCCTCTAGCATGCGCTCGAACTTGATCTTCTCCTTTTTACTTTCGCATTCTCTTTGTGCGTCACGAATGGCCTGACCAAGATCATCAGCGGGCTCATCTTCTGCCCCTACCTCTTCTTTAGTTTCCCCCATTGCAGTATCATTAAAGGCACCATATTCAGCAATAATGTCATCATCATCCCATTGTTCTTCTTCACCTTCTTCCATTACAACCCTGGTTTCTCCGTGCTTCGTCCAACAAATATAGTTTGGCATGAAACCCGACTTCAACAAGTGTGAATGAAGACTCCTTAAGCTAGCATATTCCTTTAAATTCTTACATATGGCACATGGGCAGCACATGAAACTATCATGTTTGTTTGCCTTGGCCACACGTAAGAAAGAATGCACGCCCTCAATGAACTCTTGGGAGCGGCGATCAGCATTATACATCCAATGTCGGCTCATCTGCATTACATGACATACATAGCATATTAAAACCTAGAACATAATTAGTTAATTATACGACATGCATGCCACCACACAAGGTATTAATTTATGAAAGTCTCGCTACAATGTAGACAATCCCAACTATCACTAAAAAAACTAAAGCTAAAATGCACTTCAGCAGCATAAGGATTTTGCGACCAATCCCAACTAAAACAGATAGATCATGCGTTTGTTCAACATCTATGGGCTTCTTCCGCAGGATCACTGCCTCATCAGCCACCGTATCCGCCTGTGCAAGAGAGTTTTGCATGTGTTCAACATACTCTTCCTCCCAGTACCAGCCTGAACATCCAGTGCCATCCCACTGAAATTAAAACAAAAAATTAGAACTTTAATCACAATCATTATGAAAATAAGTATAAATTAACCATAATCATCAAATGCGACAAAATAACTCACATTGCAATCCGGACACTTGTAGAAGATACGACCTTGTTGGGACACTCCTTCCTCACCCAGTACTCTATCACAATCTTCTCCTCACACTTGCCGCATGCAATGAGAGGGAGGTCCGGCCTTAGTCGCTTTGGAACCCGATGAGAGGCCGAGGACCCGGAAGCAGTTGCCATCTACTTTCTATACTCATTTTTAATATAATAAAAATTTCTCATTTTATAAACAAATAAAATTAAAAAAAACTCTAAAATTCTCTATATCTCTAAACCATGAAGTGTGCTATGCATGCTAGAAATGAAAGCTGAATACTAGTTTTGAATAACTACTTTAACCTTCCTTCATCCAAATATGCAAACTTTAAAGTGATTTTGAGCTTAAATGGCTTACAAATAAAAAAAATCCACCATAAAAAATCACATATATCTAGTCCATAAAATGAGATATGCTACTGATGAAACATGAGAGTATAAAGTTGGTAACCTTTAGAACCGAAGAATCGATGGAGGAATCGAAGAAATCTTGTGATTACCGGCGATGAGGAAGAAGAGAGGCCAGCGATGAAGCAAGAATACTGAGCTCGAAGTGGCTCAGGCTCGGGGAGGAAGAAGGGGTATATAGGAGGGGACCTTTAGTCCCGGTTGGAGACAGCAACCGGGACTAAAGGTCCATTTCTAGTCCCGAATGGAGCCTCCAGCCGGGAGTAGACTTTTACTCCCGGTTGGTAGCTCTAACCGGGACTAAAGGTCCCCTGCAGCAAAAGCCTGCCGCAGTAGCCGTTGGGTAGAGACCTTTAGTCCCGGTTGGAGCTACAAACTAGGACTAAAGGTCTCTCTAGTCTCGGACGTGAAAAATACCGGGACTAAAGTCAAATTTCGAAGTACATCAAAAGTCGTTTCTCTACTCGTGAGGTGCATCCAGGCGCGTGTAGCAGGAGCATGCGGGCGCATGTAGCAAGAGCTAGCAGGAGCATGCAGGCACATGCAGAGAGGCGGCAAGCAAGCAAAGCGGCGACATGCGTGCGACAGAGGCGACATGCGATGCGTGCGCGCATCATGCGGACGCGATGCAACAGTGGGGCGGCGGCTGACAACACATGCCCATCAGTGCAGCGGTAGCGCATGCCAGACGCGTGCAATAGGCGAGGGGGGGGGGTCGGCAGCAGCATGCGCATCAGGCAGGCAGGCAGGCAGGCCGGGCGCTAGCTACGCTGTTTTTCTTCTCCTGTATGAAATTCTTCACCCTAAGGCCCTGTTTGGCATGGCTCCAGCTCTGGGTAGAGCTGCTCCACTCCAAAACTCCAGGTGGAGCCAGCTCCACTCCAGAACTCCAAAACTAAAATGTGGTGTTTGGCTAGATGGGTGCTCTCAGCTCCAAAAATACCGATTTCGGTGTGAATTGCCACTGTTGTCCCCCAATTCTGGTCCCACTTGTCATCCTCTCTACCCCATCTTCTTCTTCAGAAGTCTCCTGTGTTTAGCTTAGATGAAATCGTGATGGCACCATTGCTGCTGCAAACGTGTACTTTGCTCATAGCTTGATTCATTACGTATGTGCCTCTATCTTATAGCATATCCCTATCTATCCTGTATGAAGATCGTATCTATGTCTGGCCATATTTCTCCGAGAAGGTGAGTATCTGTGGCTCCAGGTACTTTCCATGGTAGATGAGCCTGGACATGGCCCTGTACGCGGCCTGCGTCATGTAGATCCCGTCCCAGCTCAGGTACACCGCCGGCTCCACGCACGCCGTCGCCCCCGCGAACCCATGCATCCGCCGCCAGTCAAAGTTATACTCGCTGCCGCCGCCGCAGTTCTGCAGCGTGTGCTTTCGCCACGTCGAAGCCAATGAGGTGGCATTGTGGAGGAGGCGAGCGAGGAAGAGTCGCGCCCGGACGTGGCCTTTCGCAGCTCGCCACCATGCTACTGCGGCGCAAGTTGTGCTTGGCAACGAAGCGGTTCAGCACCCGAAGGCACCCGTACGCGTCGTAGTCCGTCGGCGGTGGAGGGAGGCAACGGCGAGCTGGCGCGTGAAGATGGCACGGCCGCCTGCCGGCAAAGGAGCGCCCGATGGGGCCGTGGCGTGGCTGCCGGCCGGACGTGAGGGAGGGGCCCGATGAGAAGCAACGGCGGCAAGAGGAAGTCACAACGCGCGGGTTCGCGAGAAAAGAAAACGAATCGTTTTTTTTCTGTGTAACGAGTGGCATTGATGGGTAATTACCCACCAACTCCACGAGAAGGTTCAAGAAAGGGGTTTTGGAGCGGCAAAAGATGTGCTCTAAAACTTCACCTTCATTTGTACTACAGCTCCATGGAGTTGACAGCTCCATGGAGTTTTAGAGTTGGTGTGTTTGGCTGGATTTTTTGCTAGAGTTGGTGGAGTTGTGGAGTGGAGCCATACCAAACAGGCCCTAAGTACATGTGCTACACGAAGAGGACTTCTACTGGCATCGACTTCTATAATATATATACTCTTTCGACCTCTATTCTATTTTTTATTCTTTTCTTTCTAAATTTATTCTAAGTCAGTCATTTTTTGGTTTGTCTGAACACTAAGTTAATGTTATTTGATAAACCATAAATTATATTTTCATAAGATATTTATTTGATGTTACACATGTTAGTGTTCCTTTATATAAAGTTAATTACATTTAAAATAGTTTGACCTAAAATAACTCTAGAAATTGATGTGTTAGTGTTCTTTATATAAAGTTAATTAAATTTAAAATAATTTGACTTAATACAACTCTAGAAATTGATTTATTGGCACAGAGGACGTAGATGCACTATCATGCTCGCATAATCTTCCTTTGAACTTGACTATTCATCCAAACAGGACCTAATTCATGTAGGAGAATTGCTAGGCTAGGCCTTTTTTTATTAACAGGACCCTCCTGTTTCACAAAGCGTATGCCCATTCTTCAGAGTATATCAGTATATACCACTAGGCTGCACTTCGCAAGTTTTTTTTTTTTTTTAAAGTCGCACTTCTCAAGTACTGAGATGTACACACAGAAAATCATTTAATTGATATAGCTTCGCACAATACAGCCTATTCTTTACAATATATATATATATATATATATATATATATATATATATATATATATATATATATATTATATATATATATATATATATATATATATATATATATATATATATGACAAGTCTCCGCCTGCCCATCTAAGAAAACACACACAACAGTACAACACACACATTGTGCGATATTGCAACATATTAATCTTCGCTATACAGTATGCACAAGCGATGTGACTACCATTTCTCTCTATAGGAGCATCCTGCAGCTGAGCTTCAGAACGTGCAAAGAACGGTTATGGAAAACACAACCGCCATTCCTTTCCCACCTCAAAAAACTATACATGGTGGAGGGTTAAGGACACTCCGTATTAGCCTGGCTTATCAGCCATGGTACAGTGTTTCTCTCTCACGACAATCAGCGAACCGTACTTTTTAGCCTGACTTTTCAGCGAAACGAACAGGGCCGAAATAAAAAAAAAATCACCATTGTGTCCTTGCATCATGCTCAGTGCTCAGTTGGTACCCCCAAAGCTAATCGTATCGCACATTCGCTTCTCCTTTGGTACCGGAGTCCCAAATTCTCGAAGTTAGTTTTCTCAACTATAGTTTGGCATATAAAGCTGAATGGCACTTTACACGGGATTGGTCATGCCTGCGGAAAGCAACCAAACAGTAAGCATATGCTGTAGGTTCTGTGGAGTGAGCACATGCCACAGAGCATAATCCATGGAACAGGAATCAGCCACACAAGAATTCATGTGAATATTGGATTGCTAAGCGAACAAAAAGGAAAGAAGTGCAAAAGGGAAAACACCAGTTACCACTTACCACTAGCCAAGCTTCAATGCTTCTCTAAGACCAAAGCTCATCTGACAATGCCTTTTTTTCCCTAGCGGGTTATTTCCCTTCTGCATCATGGTTACAAACTCATTGTAGTCGATCCGGCCATCCTGAATTGATAATCAAGTGAGATGCAACTCTTGGCCTTTAGATTTTAATACACAACATAATGAGATGCAAATCTACTTACATTGTCTTGATCAATGTCACGAATGATATCTTCTAGGTGTGCATCTTCTATACCAAATTCCTCGCATGCTTTTTGTAACTCATCATGAGTTATGTAACCACTCCCGTCTTTATCAAAGTATGAGAATGCTGCAAAGAGGTTATCTTCTCGCTCAACTTTGTTCAGATGCAAAGTTGCAGCTAGGAACTCTCCATAATCAATGGAACCACTGTTATCAATATCTGCCTGAAAGTTGCAGATCATACATCTTCATTCAAGCAAGGCCCAAAACTATAGGTACATGTGTAACAGCACAATTAAATCTCCTAGCAAAAAGACCTTTGCAATAACATAGAAGGGCCATTAAAACAATTTTAGATCAATATTTAAATAACTACATATGAGTTCAGATTAAAAAAGATTTATAGACTAAAAGAGGGTGACACTAACACACCTCTAAACATCTACATATGAGTTCGATATTTCAATAACTCAAATTTAGGAAAGAGTTTCCTTGAGCTCATGGGGCATAGGAATCTTAGAAAAAAACTGAAAACAAAAAGGGCAAAAATATGTTAGAACAATTACCGCCTCCATTAGTGTTGTAATTTCAGAGTCTTTTAAGTTAGCACCAATTCTCTTCAAACCACTTTTTAGTTCCTCCAACGTGATCTGCCCACTATTGTCAGTGTCCAGCATTTTGAACATTTCTCTCAATCCTGCAATTTCATCTTCGGACAAATTTTCAGCAATGACCTACAGACACCCAGTGATGAGAACATCAATACTGAACACAATAAATATGCTTTCTATAAATCAAAGCAATAACATGTTCCAGTACTCACCCTAAGGGCCATCTTCTTTAGTTTATTCATTGCAGAAAACTGTTTCAATCTGGTTAAAACAGCAGAATCCAGAGGTTTGTCAGGAGCCACTCCATCTACACAAACCCAGGGATGACCTGCCAAAATGAAGATGGGTCGTTTCAGAGGACTTATGACAATGAAGCTAGATGGACAACAGAATGTTCTATAATAAAGTGGGATGCTTCATCCAGTTAAGATGGTCAACAAATGTTTTCTATAGGTGGTATTTGTGCCTCAGAAATCCTACGTACTTACATAGAGCTTGATGTGCAGTCAATCTCTTTCTGGGATCACGGTTTAGCATCTTCCTGACCAAATCCTTTGCACTCTCGGAAATACTGGGCCAGGGATCAGATGAAAAATCAAGATCGCCTTTCAGAACTTGTTCAAATATCCCTTGTTCAGATTCTGCAAAAGGCAGACCAATGTCCAAAAGAAAATAGAACAGTGCAGTACTGTCAGAAGCAAAAAGGCAAGGTAAAAAGTACAGCAAAGGGGTAGATGTATCCTCACCATCCCAAAATGGAGGAACCCCGCTCAATAAGATAAAAATTATTACACCTGCACTCCACACATCCACCTCACAGCCATAGCGTTTCTTCAGAACCTCAGGTGCAACATAATAAGGACTTCCAACGACATCCAAAAATATTTCACCTGTAAGCATATCAAGTCAACACAGACAACACGGAAATAGACAGTGGTAGATATGGTGTTATAAACGATAAAAAAACCCAGAGAATTAGTGGCCATATGCTCATGTTGATATTTCATTTCTTCTTGGGTGAAGTTCAATACTACCCTTCTTGGTGTCAAAAGGACAGAATAAACATCTTCCCTAAGAGCGTCACAAATGAGTGTTCCATTTTGGCGAGAAAAATTAGTAACATGGAGTTCAGTTGATACCTCCAAAGCTGGTTGTTTAGCGGGGCCCAAAGAGTTAAAAATAGAAAACCTCCTCTCCCATTATCCTCATCCTCTTACTCTTTTTTTCTTCTTGAAATAGCAGGAGATTTGCATGTCATTGCATTAAGACAGGAGAAAAGCCAAAATAGCCAGTCCAGCGACCTTACACGATGACCCAGGAGATCTGTGCCCCTCTCCCAGAAAAACAGATCAAGGCCACCAGAAATTATTATTTTACCAAGTTGCATTTGAACTAAGTTTAAAGTTTAAACTTTAAGTTTGGTTTTGAGTCCTAAAACCACTATCAGACTGCTCCAAAATGCCCTGTTCAGTCTGTGCAGCCCACAGCTTTGCTTTAACAGCACTCGAGCTGCTCTAAGAATGAATATCAGAACATGCATGACTGCAACTGTGCTAAATCTCGTCAAAATAAAATGAATAAGAACGCACATAAATTAATTCGTAGCTAGGGTCTGTTACAAACATCCCTTAAAGCCTTAATTAACAATCAAAAAATAAAATCCAGAATCTGAAACGTCATTTTTTTAGGTTGCACATCCATCAACACCATAGATTTCAAACAATATCACCTAGAGTGTTAAATGACAGTGTCTGCAGTTTGGGCCAAACCCAAATCATCCGCTGGTCAGAATTGGTTAACTTGCATGTGCTACTTGCTTTCTTCCTCAGCTCCAATTGCTTAGCGTTGCTAAGTCAATAGTTTTGACTAAACTGGTATGATCAGGCAAGTTTGGATCAAGTGTGTGCATCTGAACTCTGAAGGTTCATAGGTTGAGGAACACATTGATTGTATGGAAAATGCATGTCTTGGCATCATCACTTCTCATAGTTGTATAGCCCTTTTTTTATAGTAGTTAGATTCTCCAAATGTACATGTCCTACAAATGTAATCATCTCAACATACATAGAATCCTTGCAACTTAACATGATTGCTATACATGTGTTGATATTAAGCAGAAAATGTAAGCACCACTTTGCAGTTCGCTCACATGGGGGTCTCCACTGAACAAATTCGCACATTTTCATGCAAATTAAGAGATAATGTTCAGTTATTAAACATCACAAATAACCACGCTACTATTGTGCAGAAATGAATGCAGACTTGAACTAAACCTGGAGACAACAATCCATAAGCTAAGAAAACAATCATTGGATATGCAGAGTTTCCATTGAGGAGATTGCAAGGTAGAGATTAAATGACCATGATGCACATCTATGTGCCTTTTCTTTCTATTGTTATCTATTTATTTGTAGCTTCAAAATGTAGGAACATGATCGCAATTTCACGCTGGTACAGGGATGGAGCTCATTTTGATCTTATACCTCACAAGGTTCCCTCCCAGATTTTTTGAATATCTGAAGATGCATATGTACCCCTGCTAGAACTGTTGTGACACAAAGGTTTTGTGCTCCGAAATTAGATTATTGTACTACAACAAGGCATGAAAACCCTTACAATCATACTATTTAAAATAAGTCTTTCTAGTTATCTAGTATCATATTCAACAGCAAACTAGCAGTGTCAACTCAAAACTGTGAATGCACAAGTGCACTACAAGTGCACCACCAAAGCGAACTTGCAGTGTCAACTCAAAGCTGTGAGTGCACAAATGCACTACTAGTCCACGAGACCACTGCCACAGCAAACTAGTAGTCAAACTTTTTTTATGATTTTTTGGGGACAATGGCCAACATTCCTGCACGTGCTGCACTACACTACAAAACAACACTAAATCGAGGCTGTACCTGGTTTGAAGAAGATGGAGAGCCCGTAATCGATAGCCTTTAACGGTGCATCCTCCTTTTGGTTGACAAACAAGAAATTCTCCGGCTTGAGGTCTCTGTGCATCACCCCGAGCGAATGGCATGCTTCGACAACCCCAATGATCACCCGGGCCAACTGTGCGGCGGCTTTCTCGGAGTAGTGCCCGCGCTGTATGATCCTATCGAACAGCTCCCCTCCGGCGCACAGCTCCATGACGAGGTGCACGGCGACGGCGTCCTCGTAGGCTCCGACGATGGACACGACGTTGGGGTGGCCGGCCAGGTGGTGCATGATCTGGATCTCGCGGCGCACGTCCTCGACGTCCTCCTCGTTGACGAGCTTCCGCTTGGCGATGGACTTGCAGGCGAAGTGCTTCCCCGTCGCCTTCTCGACGCACTGGTAGGTGGTGCCGAACTGCCCCTGCCCGAGCTTCTTGCCCAGGGTGTAGAGGTCCTTGAGCCGCTCGGAGTCGCGCCTCAGCACGGAGCCCGCGACGAGGCCCGCGCTCTGCACGCGCTTCACCTTGGGCTTGGGCTTGGGCTGCTTGCCGTTAGGATTGGGCGGCGCGGCGGCGGGGACTGATGCGGTGGAGGTGGAGGTGGAGTGTGGCGGGTGCTCGGAGTCGGAGATGGTGACGGGGTCAGGGGCCCTGGAGGGAGTCGAGGAGGGAGTGGAGGAACTGGGTTCAGTGGTCGAGGAAGGCTCGGCGCGGGCGGCGGCGGCGGCGGCCGGGGGGCGCCAGAGCACGGCGAGGGAGACGGAGTTGAAGAAGCTGTGGCGGTCCGAGGGGGCGCTGGGGCCGACGCAGGTGTTCCCCATCGCGCCGGCGAGGGGGCGGCCGCCGCCGGAACCTAGGCGGCCCGTGGCGGCATTGGGCGGCGAGGGATTGTTGGGTCAGTGGAGGATTTGGTGGGGATTTGGCCGACTGGGGAGGAGCCGCCGGAGAGGGGCGGAGCCGCGGAGGCGGTGGGGCCGTTTGGCTGACACGTGGGCCCCGCCGGCATGTGAGGCCCGTTGTCAGTGGCTGCGCAGTGAGCGGGTGTGAGAAATGAAAGGCAGGCGACTTTTCGCGCCAGATCGAACGGCTCGGGTTGCTGTACACGTGAGATGATTGGATAGTTATAGTTACTGACTTGTCCTACTCTTTTTCTGCCTAACTCCAGTCCGAGGCAAACCGATGCAAGTCATCCAGGGATACTGACATCAAGGGATATTTGGTTTACACTTACTATAGGCAAGTTTACCAACTTAATTATGGCTTCAAACAACTTTGGCTCTTTTTACTTTGGTGCAGAGGAGCTAGAGTCGGTGAATAAAAAAATGATTTCACAGGTTTTTAATTTATTGAGAGGAGGGATAAAATGGAGGAGGGATAGTATAAGCAACCTATAACCAGACAAATCAAATAACTAAAAGGCATATATGTCAAGTTATTAAGCATCACTTTGAGATATGTCGCAAAAAGAAGCATCACGGAGATATATTTATGATTCATGCAAGAAGAGATCACATGTTCGGCTACATATTTCCACCAAGGATAACACTCTCATCGCACAACACCAAATCCAAAGCTCTACCAAACGGAATTCACAAACCATCAAATACTTGATCTCCATAAAGGCATATATGTCGGTAGTTATTAAGCAGCTGGCGTCGTTATAAAAGAGTCAGCGTTGGGCTAAGTGGATATGACGCCCTCAAAAAAGAAGCATCACAGGAGATGGCCCTCGAGATTTATGAGGCATGCAAGAAGAACCCACCCCTCAGACATCGGTTCAAGGCGGAGCCCGACCCCTTGGGCGTACATATTTCCGGAGCCATCCCCGGGAGGCGAGGTAGAGCCAACACTCGGGGGTCGGGCGAGATACTGCACCCAGCAAACCTCGAGGGTCGACGAGCGAGGCCCACCTAGGTGGCGGGCAGGCGGGACAAAAGCTGTAGTCATCGCTCTCGATCGCGTGGACAAATCAACGTTTGATGGTCATTAGCTCCTCCTCTTTGGGTACCCTAGTATTGGTCCCCAACACAAGCGAAATTCATCAAACCATTCATAATACACTTCGATCTCCATATGATAACAAATGCTAATTAAGTATGATAGCATATCAAGACTCCACAAATCCAATCCCTGTAATACAATCTGATCTCTATTTGGTATTGAAGTATGAAGCACTTTCATGGCCCGTCACTCAATCATGTGCTTATAAAAGAGCTAAAGCATCATGTCCAGGTACAATGCGGAGTACAATTTCAGTATGAATTTAGAACACATGACGTGATTATTGGATAAATCTTCAAACCTCCTATGTCCTTATGAATTAGAGCAACACACATCATCTAGACATGGTACAGGGTATAATTTGTAGACCAGTAGATGGAACACACATAATGCGATTGTTGAATAAGTCTCCAAGTCATAAATCGTCTAGGTTACTGCACAATGAACTATACATCTATTACAACGCATAGGCATGTTTGTTTACAATGTGCATGCATGTTTGTTGATCTTATCCATAATCCCTAACTTATGTACCAAGATAATAGTAGCGAAAATTGATAATTAGTGTGGTTGAGCTCCTGTTTCCTGGATGCCCAAACTAAAATCTACTTGTCCATTGTTTGCAAGGATGAAGGAGGATTGCAGCATCCCCACTGAATCTGCCCTGCGAAGCGTTTCACTTCACGAGGAATGGCTAAATCATCAAATTGTAATAGTTAGGAGTAATATATTATTTTATTATTAGGCAAACAAGAGAAACCTGCACACTAAGTCTCGAGATCTGCATATTGATGTCAATGTTGATCTAAATATTGAGCTAGTAATATATTATATTATCGTGAGATTCTATGAGATAGTTACAAGCTCTAAGACAACTTCTCCAGTGGCATTAACTTTGTACATAGCTCATAATATGAATAACCCTATATGACAACCTCACATAATGCCAAAATATGTGCATGAGACTAGTTCTTAATTAAGAGATAACATTTCTCTCTTTTATTAAAATATAAAATAATATGCTTAAAGCTAACTTATAAATCACCATTAGAGGCCTATTCCGCCGTCTGCGAGGGCGCTGATCTCACGTTTTCATGGTATCAAGAGACAGTTCTCTCCTGCGGCCTCTTTCCGTTTCCATAAACCTTAGCCATCGCTTCCTTGTTGTCGCTAAGTTCCTTGTCGACAAGCCCTAGCCGTCGCTAGATCCTCGCTAGCCTCTCACTGGCCCCTTCCTTTCCTGCGCGCGATCTCCCATCGTACACCCATCGCAGAGGGACGGAGCTACCCTAGAGGCGTGGTGGGCAGAGGGGTGGTCCACCCATGGGCCGAGTACATATAAAAACCTAACTTCCATAGCATGTATACTCTAATAGGCGCCCCAAGCCTCTTCACCTAGCGGCCAACCTTTCTCTCCCTGGGGCCTCGACGGCGGCAACGACCACTACTACAGGATGGCCTTGTTGTCTCGGGCGGTAACGGCCTTTAGTCCCGGTTACCGTGCCGGGACAACGATCCCGGGACTAAAGGTGGAACCTTCAGTCCCGGGTCATCGAGCTGGGATTAAAGAGGGACCTTTAGTCCCGGTTGGTGTTACCAACCGGGACTAAAGGCCCTCCAGCCGAGCAAACGTGGCCGCACCCTTTAGTCCTGGTTGGTAACCCCAACCGGGACTAAAGGTTCCTTTTTTTTCTTTTTCTTTTGTTTAATTTGTTTTTATTTTAGTTACACATATTTGTTTAATATATAATATGTTTTTATGTACGTATTCTATGCTGCTAATATAAAAACATGCACGCATATAATTACATCTAATTCTCATCTCGAGCATTATTATATTTGAATAAAGTATGAAACTATATATATTATTGATATATATGTATATATACAACACTTTCATAATCTTGTTCTAAAAAATGACGATATCAATAAACATTTAATTTACATCATTTATTCCTTATGATCAAAGTAGAACTCGCCGTTGGGATTTAGCACTTTTTCTAGAAGAAATCCTGCTATTGACTCTTGAACTGCTTTCAGATGGTCTTTTTGCATGACCCTTTGTTTCAACCATTCAGTCTTGCATTTGAAATAAAAGGAAAAGTATTAATACATATATATATATATATATTCATTTAAAAATAAATAAAAAATTGATATATACGTACTCTGAGGACATCTTCAGGAGTTCTTCTTATGTGTGCAGTGATAAATTCACAAACGTAGTATCCACACAAGTTATTACCTGGTTGCTGCCGCAAATACCACTGTACGAGAAGAAGATTATTCTCATCATCTCACACGTAAATTGAAGTACGATATAGTAATTAAACACGTAGGGAAGTATATATAGTACAACTTACTGGTATTTCAACTACATTAAGTGGTGCCTTGCAATCCTTGCGGTGTTGCCGAATAAACTCTTTCCAAACCCTGTGCGACCAATAATGTACGATCGTTAATAAATTATGGCAAAGTCTATTCAATAATAGTTGTGCGCGAGAGATCGAAATTACCCCTAGATAATGTCTATCATATCTTGGTATAGTGCCCGCTCTTTTCTCAACGAGTCCAAGATTACTAACCGACTTGAGTTTAATTCAATGACAATGAGTATCCAGTGAAACCTGCATTGGTTTATACACACACGTACATGCATATAAGTTGTATTGATATTACATAAAATGTGTAGACTATATTATTATTAACACTTACTCAAAGTTGTACGGGAAAAATATTGTTGTCTTGTCGTGCTGCTTCACGAAGAACCTCATGATATTCTTCTGTGCTTTAGATACCCAATGCTCTTTGGCAATAATATCGGTTTTGAATATGATATAAGGATCAATGAAACCAACACTGGTGTCTTGTATTCTTTGGAGCTCTGACATCTATAATCTATATATAAATATAAGTTACATGTGAGGATAATTATATACACGTACGCATAGAAGTGAGTTTATTAAATAAAAGTACGAATCACTTACAAACAAAAGGAGCTAATGATTGATTTGTCCAGAGCGTCCATGTGGTATAGTTGATGCAATTCTTCGAAACTAATATGTAAGATGTCATCGCCACGGAAGTAATGATGGTCTCTAAATCTGACAAAGATCCACTCCTCACCCCTGCCACACGCCTGCATGTACCACTTGTTGAGCAAGTACATTTGCGTACCCAATTTATTCAGAGCCGTAGGGTTGTACAAACTTTTGCCAAATTTATAAGTCTTCCAGGTATCAACTTCCAGGTTCTGGATTGGAGCTTTGCCCATCAATTTATCCAAGGTTAAACCAATATCTTTTAAAAAAGCATTAAGGTCTTGAACCGACACTTCTCCAGAGTTGTCTGGTCGATAGACTTCTATGTTGGAACCATATTCATTAGCAACAACAAGATTTTGCATTGGTTGCTTCTGTTGTCCGAGCTGTGGGACATCCTTCCCTGATGCTCTTTTCCTGTTCTTATCTGCATTATGTGACTTCACGAGGGAGCGGTCATAGTCTGATAGTGGCGGAGGCTTACGAAGTTCAAGCATCTTTTTCTTGTGGTCTTCGACCTTCTGCCTCATCTCGTGGTATGTAAAAGTACGGCTTCTCCTTAAGCTTCGCTTGTCTCTGCTTTTTGATATCTATAAAAAAATCTTTCACTTTTTTGTCTTCTTCAGCTGCTATTTGCTCATCAGTTTTTTCAGGAAGTATTTCTTGAGAAATAACTCTTTTTTTGGGGTCTTCTTTGCCGCCGGGACCTTAGACGTCTCTGTAGTGCGTCGCTGTGGAGGGGGTGGGGGCGGTGTTGGAGACCGGCGTGGAGGCGATGA